GTCGATTTGTTCTTCACTTGGACGTCGCGTTCGATGTTTTGAACAAGATTGTTGCCATCAAGGGTAGCCAAGATGCGCGTTGGGCAGTGAAATTTCTGCGCGGTCTTACCCCAGAAAAGCTCTTGACGGTGGCGATGTGTGCAGACATGGCGGATACTTGCCTGCAGCTGACGAGGTTTCTGGATGATGAGGGGTTGGACATAGCGCGCCTCAACGAGGAGGTGAGCGTCTTCTGCTCACGCATCCAGGTGCTGACATTTCCTGACAGACAAGTGTTGGCTTTTCCTTTTTTCCGCCGATGGTATTTTGCTGTATTTTACTGACCTGAAAGATTTGCGAGCGCTACTAATATATTTTCAACTAGCCAGTCCATTATAGTAGTATCTTTGTACCTCTGGGCCGTCGTCGATAAATGATTCGACAACAGTATTTGAACAAAACAGTTTCGCCGCAGCGTCGCAACTTCCCTGAGAGGTGCTGTTCTGCGACCAGCAATGCTTTACGCTCCATGGTTTCACCAAGCGCTGCCTAAGTCTCCTCGAGTCCGGTTCGTTGGTGCAGTTCGTGGACGGAAGTGCGAGGCTGGTGGGACAACATGGTCTGCAGCCTGCGAAAGCAGCTGCGGTGAGGCGAATGCAGGCATGTGTCACGGTTTGCTTGGAAGCTGTGCGCGCAGAATTTCCCAGCTTTGAGGCCATCATGGCCTTTAAAGCCTTCAACGTGGAAGACAGCGGAGCAAGCACTAAGCGCCGGGCTGATGGTATGAACTCTGAGGCGGTGCGGGCCCGCCAGGACAGCTTGAAACGATTGAGCCAATTGTTCAAAGTCGACAGCTTGGGCTTGCAACGGGAGTTTGAGATGCTGCGCGGCATGGCTTTGGCGTAGCATCGGGCAGCCGGTTGCGGCAACCGTGAAGCCTGGCAACATGCTTTCCTGCGTAGCCAGGAGCGTTGTAAGTACCCCGTGGACAACTTGCGACCGGCCATTTGGTATCGGTGGCAGATTTTTACCGACAGTTGTTTTGGCACCCGCTAGACAAAATATACACTCAAAACTTTATTGCAATAGGTTGAGCTAGCTAAATATATTACATTATTATTCTTCCCATGCCGTGGCAAAAATATTCAGCTTGCAGGTCCTGACGGCTTACATGTGCTTCACTTGTTCGTCTTCTGGTGTGGAGCAGCACTTCTCAAAAGTGGAGCGATGCCACCTGGAGCGCGGAAATGGAAGCAGTGATGCATTCCGCCGTGCTACCATAGCCCTTGCTGACACGGCATCTTCCCAGGCAGCGTCTGATGCGTTGGTCAGGGACGCTCGCAAAATCTACGCGGCTGGGCGTGTAGGGACTTATTGCAGGGAGACAAAAAAGCCCAGGCGAACCAAAGGCACAGTCAGGCGCACTGGGAAGCTCGCTGGTCTTACCGTGGGCGCGGAATCTGAAGCAAGCTGGCTACGCAAGCGCCGCTCAGACCTTGACGCAGTAGTTGAGGAGACGCCGCCAGCCAAGCGACTCATTGACAACGAGCCTGAGTCTGGACTGACCCCAAGCCTGAAGAAAGAGCAGCGGCGATTGCAGGGGGTGGTGGAGAAGCGGCGGCTGGAGGCGCAAATGGACGGGTGCCTATTAGATTCTGAGAAGGCGTCGGAGAAAGCGATCGAGGCCCACAAGAAGCATTTTGCAAAGGAGGATGCGAAACGAATAAGGGAGGATGATTGCGGAGCGGCTTTGTGGCAAATGACTGCTGTCAAGCGTGAGCGACGTTTTTTCGAGCTGCTTATTCTGGCTGCCCGACAAGAACAACGACCATCGACGGCAGCTGTGCCTCAATTTCGGGGCTCGCACCGTTACTGATGATTTGACTTCAGCCGAAATTTTTATCGTCCACCCCGAGGTGCCTGAGAAGAAGGCTCAGTGCGTCCATGCTCTCACATACCGCAGGGCCACAGCTGAAGCCCTCAAACTTCATATATCGGACAAGTTCCAGGCAAAAAACCCCTCAGTTTTTCATTTCCTCCAACAGGCTGTCTTTCCTGCGGAGGCCAAGTCGTCTTGGATATTGCAGGAGTCGCGGGCCTCCGCAAGGGTTGCTTTGTGCACAAAGGATGAGCTGAAAGCTTACAAGGGTCGTGGTAAGTTAGCCTACACTGCAGACCAATTCTTGAGAGCGGCGTCTTTGAAGGCGCTTGACACTCAGCTGTCTGGCCGTTCTTAGTGGTAGTGCGTGAATTTGGTGAGTCTAGTTTTCAAGTGGCTTTCCTAGCGACAGCTGCTGGGAGAGAAACACTGCAATGATGATGGGGGGGGCACACAGGCAGGATGAAGGGTTGTTTCAGCAAGACCTGTTGCGCAAGGCGCGCCGCTTCAAAAAGAATGGTCGTGGGCGGCCTGGTGTGGCTGGGCACTTGCTTAGGTTCCCAAGCGTGTGCTTTGTTGCACTGACGTGTCCCTGAGCTTAGGCTAGGCGATTTAGATATTATTCTATTTTCCTTTTCTTTTAATTGTTTATTGTCAAGGTCTTGAAACGTATCATGTCCTTGGCCTTCAATTAGATGCAAATCACCGGGCTCTGAGACTCTGGTCTTGATCATGGTTTACATAATAAACAATACCACCGCTACGGCTCTGAGACTCTGGTCTTGATCATGGTTTACATAATAAACAATACCACCGCTACGAATACTTGCTACTACTTCTACTACTACTACTACGACGACGAATAAGAGTCACTAGCACTAAGAACACTACTACTGCTGTTGCTGTTACTGTTGCTGCTGCTTAACTACTCATTGTCATACTACTTTAATACCAACTACTCAGGACTACAACAAATATTGCAACAACAACTACTACTGCTACCACCACCACCACTACTACTGCCACTACTAGTACTACTACCACTACTACTACTACCTATACCTACCTATTCCTACCTACCTACCTACCTACCTACCTACCTACCTACCTACTGCTACTGCCACGATGATGATTACTACTACTACCAGTAAGGTCCTTTTACTTATCTTGTACTTATAGATGTTAATTTGAGCTTGCGGAAGTTAAGAATTCTGTACTTATACAGATGTTATAAGTAGGTTATAAGTAGGTTGTAAGTAGTTCGAGGTGTTGGTTTTTTCTTGTTTTCACGTATGATGGGCTCTGGCAGCTGAATCTTTTTGACGCGAATTGGCACGGGGCATCTCGAGCTAGTGCAGGCAGTGGACTAAGTCGTCTTTTATTCGACACCACGTGGGCTTCGAAAGTTGGTCCGTGGCACATACGCGGATGAACATCGCGTCTTGCGCGATGGAGCGCCACACAGACCCCCAGAAAGGCGAGGTTTTCTGAGACCTGGCCGACACTGACCGACACGAGGCCGACACGCGCAAAGGCCATGCCTGCTAATTACTTTATATAGGACCGACACGGACCGACGTGCTTTTCCCCGCGCCCGCCAGGACCCTGGCCGACACCTGGCCGACAACCCCGCGTCGTTTTCTCGTCTGGCACGCGCGGCGCGAAGACTTCTTCCCTTCTGGCCCCGCAGGCTCCATGCCGCTCCAACAAGCCAAAGCCCCGAACGCTTGACGGAACAAAGGCACTGACAGACGTGGTGTGTGACGGACCAAATGCAACGTCACGCACCGTAGCCACGCGATGCCAAAAAACAACCTTTCCAACAAAAAGCTAACTAGATTACAAGTTCGACCTAAGTTCAACCTAACTAACCTCTCTTCCGACAGTAAGTGTCTACCAAGTCCAGGCTAACTACATTACCGCGTTAACATACTTATAGAATTTACAAGCATACTTATGGAACATGTAAGCCATTCATGACTTGTTTATAACCAACTCATATGTAAAAGGACCTTATTGGTACTACTACTACTACTACTACTACTACTACTACTACGACTTTGACGACGACGACGACAACGACGATGACTACTACTACTATTATTACTTCTACCACTCCTACTACTGATACTGATACTACGACGACTACCACTACCACGACTACTACTGAAACTATCTTCTATCTCCTATCTACTAACTACTTCGACTCTCTACAACGACGACGACTACTACTACCACTACCACCACCACCACTACTGCTACTACTACTACTACCACCACTAGTACCACTACTACCCACTATACACACTACTTCTGCTACTGCTACTGGTACAGTCTACCACTACCACTACTACTACTACTACCACTACTACCACCACTACTACTACTACTACCACACTACTACCACTACTACTACTACTACTTCTTCGACTACTACTACTGTCTACCACTACTTCTACCACGGCTACTACTACTGTCTACAACAACTACAGTCTTTACTACAGTCTAGTGCAGCCTACTACTACTACGACTACTACTACTAGTACTAGTACTAGTACTACTACTACTCCTACTACTACTGCTACTACTACTACTACTACTGCTAGTAGCCTGTAGTACGAGTAGACTGTAGTGGTAGTATTAGACTGAAGTTTTCTCAGACTGTAGTGGTCGTAGTCAGTAGTAGTAGACTGTAGTAATGGTAGACTGTTGTAGTAGTAGCAGTAGACTGTCGTAATAGTGGACTGTGGTACTAGTCGCCTGTAGTACTAGTAGGCTGTAGTATTAGTAGACTGTAGTAGTAGCAGTAGACTGTCGTAGTATTAGTCGACTGTAGTGCTAGTAGCCTGTAGTATTAGTAGACTGTAGTGGTCGTGGTCAGTAGTAGTAGTAGACTGTAGTAATGGTAGACTGTAGTGTACTACTAGTAGTAGTAGTAGTAGTAGTAGTAGTAGTAGTGGTAGTGGTAGTGGTAGTGGTAGCCGTAGACTGTCGTAATAGGGGACTGTGGTACGAGTCGACTGTAGTACCAGTAGACTGTAGTATTACTAGTAGTAGACTGTATAGTAGTAGTAGACTGTATAGTAGACTATATAGTAGTAGTGGTAGTATTAGACTGAAGTAGTTGTAGACTGTAGTGGTCGTAGTCAGTAGTGGTAGACTGTGGTAATGGTAGACTGTAGTAGTAGTAGTAGTAGTAGTAGTAGTAGTAGTAGTAGTAGTAGTAGTAGTAGACTGTCGTAGTGTGGACTGTGGTACGAGTCGACTGTAGTACTAGTAGACTGTAGTATTACTAGTAGTAGGCTGTACTGGACAGTAGTAGTAGTAGTAGTAGTAGTAGTAGTAGTAGTAGTAGTAGTAGTACTTGGATGCCCGTGGTGGTTGCTAAGTGGCTACAGCGGATAGTGTGCTTAGCAATGAACCTATATGTTACCCAAAAGAATATATATCTTCAGTAACATTGCTTATAACATGGCCAAACCAACATATAAACCAGTCAATCTACATATAGTGTTTGTATTATTTGTTAAGTACTTAGCGTCAACGTGTAAGTGCTTAGATTTATGTTAAGTAGCAAGGCAACTTAGTATCTACTTAGCCTTTAATGTAAGTAGTTTGCGCTAAGTTTTGTAAGTAAGTTGTCGTGCTTACGAGCATGTGGGGTAAGTAACTTAGGTGATTTATGTATGTTGGCTAACTGGAACTTACTAAGTATGTTAAGTGCACTTGTGGGCTACGTGGCGAATGCTTGCGTGCACGGGAAAGGCGCACGCGTGCACAGAACAATGCGTACAATGCGTGCATGTGTTTTCTTTCCTAGAGTTTTTTTTTTCGAAGGCGTTTGCAGTGCAAGTGTTTACTTTTATTTTTGTGAGGGGTCCGCACAAAACGTTTCCACATATTTTTGACGATGTGTTTCTTGTCGATATTTTTTTGATTTTTTTTGAATTGTTTTTTCTTTTGTTGGCATTTGCAGTTTGATTTTGATAGGTTTTTAGGAAGTATCCGCAAAAAGTTTCCACAACTTGTTGTTTGGAGTTGTTGTTATTGTTTGTTTTGTTTTTGTTTTCTTTTTTGTTATTTTCCATTTGCAGCAGATGTATATATGTAAATATATCAAAAGGGAGGCACCGATTTTTTGCGAGGAGGAGGGTGCCACCCTGTGCAGCGGGGAGGGGCTGCACAGATAATATATATCAGTCAAACCCTTTTGTTGGGTGATGATTGTGTCCATGATGGAACTTGGACGAAGGGACTGCGGTGAGCCCAGAGTGGAGGGTAGGTGGGATTTCCATGTACAAGATCACTGTACGTCGAACTATGTAGGCATGTGCATGATCACGTACAAACATGTGCAGATCCATGAGGCATGCGTTGCTGGCATGAAGACATTCACTGAAAGACAGAATGAGAGGCCAATATTTCTCTAGTGGCTCTAGTTAGCTTGACTCCATGGTCGGTATCTCAAACAAAAACAAATTTGGCGAATGCATTCACGAGGCAGAATTGGATCCATGTGCATTTGGCGAACGCCAGTTGAGAAGGCGCCAATTTGGGACTGAAGTGTTGCGGTGCCATGTCTCTGGAGGGCATTTGATGAGGGAAGTGAGTCAAGGTTCTTTTGATCAGACATGTTGAGAAGTCATTTGGTGAGGGAATTGTTACTTTTGATCAGTACATGTTATAGTTGATGCTCAATCAATCATCTGATATGAGCCTAAGTGAGTGCATTGCATATAGTGGCCTACTGTGCAATCAATTGTTGAATGTCGTTAACGTGAGCAGGGCTTTTGCTCGCTTGTTGGCAGGGATGCGTCTCGCCTTGTTTGATAGCGGTTTGGCTCTCGTATACCGTGATTGTAGATTGGATCACTGATTGGGTTGGATCGTAATGGCAGCGCCTCTGTTGTTGGCATGGATCGCATCCTTTGTGCTTCGGCGCGCGCGTACCGATGTGGAGCGTG